ATATTGTCGATGGATTGTGTAAACAATAATTATATTTAACTTAACAACACATTCTGACAAATGTATTAGGTACCTTGTAGCCTAAGGTTTTCATATTCTCCACCAGTGCCCAAGAGTATAGCAAGTCATGTGCAATGCAATTTGTAATCCAAATTCCTGTGTAAAGGAATGGATTTGGGTAGTTCAATTAAAAAGTCCATTCTCAAATCTAAAAATTAATAATAAAACTACAATTAATAATAATAATAATAATAATAATAATAATAATAATAATAATATATTACCGAAAGATAATAATGATATATATATATATATATATATATATATATATATATATATATATATATATATATATATATATATATATATATATAATATAACAAAATGTGACTATTTTAAGTTAATTACTTGTCTCTTTTATCAGCTAAATATTATTTTGCTATTAGTAGTACTTTGATAAGTTCCTTATTTTGCATTGGGTGCAAAATGATGTCAACACTCTACAAAGTTCAGTGTTTCCAAAAAGAAAATGTTTTACTATTAGCTGTAGCTAGACTCAAGAAAATGAAATCAGCACAAAAACATTTATTGCACAATGATGTCACCTTCTCAAGTCTAGCTATCCCACCAACTAGTAATCCTACCATAAGACACAAGTTACGAGTATAAGTTAATAGAGATAACGAAAACATTCAACATACATTTAAAAAAAAAAAAAAAAAAAAAAAAAAAAAAAAAAAAAAAAAAAACCTATGTGAAACAATGTTAATTATCAAATTTAAACTAATTCAACATTTCAATTTTGTGCATACTTTACTCTAAATTTTACAATTAAAATAAACATTAAAATATAATATGAAATTCTTTAATGCATATATTTAATATAATGTATGTTTACTATAAGTAGTATTCGTATTTCATAGCTTCATAAAGTTCCATTTACCAAAAGTCACAATCTTTCATTTCTTACACTTTATAAGTCTAACTTAGGAAAATACATTATCACAACATAATATGTACCTGTGGAGATATTCCAATTGAACTGCAATATTTAGACTCCTCTGAAGTGTCAATCACATGGATATAACTTCTATCGAAATACCAATCATCAAATGCTTCTGGAAACGTCTGTAAAATAAACAATTTATATTAAAATTGTGAATTAAAAATAAATATTGTCGATGAATCAAGTAAAAAATAATAATATTTAACTTAACAACACATTATGACAAATGTATTACCTTGTAGCCTAAGGTTTTCATATTCTCCACGAGTGCCCAAGAGTATGGCAAGTCATGTGCAACGCAATTTGTAATCCAAATTCCACTTTGTAAAGGAATGGATGTGGGTAGTAGTTCAAGTAAAAAGTCCCTTCTCAACTCTGAAAATTAATAATAAAACTACAATTAATGATAATAATAATAATAATAATAATAATAATAATAATAATAATAATAATAATAATAATAATAATAATAATAATAATAATTGTAGTTTTAGTTCAATGACGTAATTGTAGTTTGGTATGCAGTTGAGTGGCATATTTGACCTTTATTCCTGAAAAATAAAAATATTAAAAAAATCATTTTTCTCAAATTTGAAATTTTTATTTTTCAATTGAATAAATTTTCTATCAACTAAATAATATAATTTTTTTCAAATAGATTCTACTGATTACTAATGAATAATTGAGTTTTAGGTAATTTAGTTTTATATATCAACTTTAAATAGATTCTACTGACTTCAATAATTTTGATTCTAAATATATGCAACACATTACACATAGCACATGCTCTCTCTCCCTACAATTGCTCTCATTCCTAATTAGTACCTACATAGGTCTTAGCTTGCTCCTGCAATCTTTCCTAAGAATTGACTATCAGTAAGATTGTCGTAGGTTTACCAGCTCATTTGTTATGGTCAACACTCAACACTTCAAAATATAAACTTTCATAATTGGTTAGTTAGTTAAATATAGATTAATGGTAATAGACAAAAAAATTTATTTAACCATAGCCACAAAATTAAGTAATTTAAACATTCCTCGATCAAAACGGTCACAATATTCTTTTTAGTGTGATTTACATCTCTTATATGATTTGCAGATTATTACATAAGAATGTAACGAAGTCTATCTAATGTACACTCTCAGATGATAACGGTCGGTCTTCTTACTCATCCAATAAATAAATAAATAAATAACAACTCATTTCGTTTGTGGTTCATGAAAAAGAGTGTTTGAATCTAAAATTTTATAGAAAAGAAAGTACTAATTATAATATGAATTTCGTTGTTTGATTGGTAAGAAATATGTTCATATGAATAATAAATATAAAGATTCACATGCCCCTATAAGATACATGAGAATAATATTGAAATTCATATTGTAACTTTATTTTTAAAAAGTGTGAAAAATAAAAATACCAAAAAATAATAACAAATTCATTTTTCTTAAATTTGAAATTCCTATTTTTCATTTGAATAAATTTTCTATCAACTAAATAATTTTTTTTTCAATTTTAATGAAAATTTATCATCGCTTTTTTTTTTTTAACCAATCAAGTTACATTAAATATGAATAACAAATACTAAACATATGTCACAAGAAAAATACTCAACATAAAATAAAGAAATAGTTGTAGACTGCTACTAGACCAGGAATGATTTTGAAACATATCACACACTTTCTATTCCTATCTCTGATTCCTAATTAATATATACATATGTCATGTTCATGTTAAATAAATACATACATATAGCACACACTTTTTTTTTAAAACCTTTTGATTATAAAAAGAATTAAGAATTTTTTCATTATGTGAAATAAATTTGAGTCAGTATTTCTTTTTTTTATTTGTATTTGTGTGATTTCATGGTTAAAAGACTTTTTCAAATGTAGACATGGAAATTTTGACAAGATTAAACTAGTTAATAATATTGGACCGCATATTATTTGAGCTTGTATATCAATTAAATAAATTAATTTTAGTTGTATTATTTGCCTAATTAATTTAATTATTTGATAAAGATTTAATCAAATTATATATTATTATTTAAGATATTATAGTTATGATAGGATCATGAACCTGGAGATTATGGTGGCTAAATGCATTTTGAATAACTCTTTATATTATCTCAAATATTTATTTATTAATTTTGAAATAATATCAAAGAATTTGAGGTGAAATATGAGTTTCACATTCTCACCCTTTGTTAGGAACACTTGTATTAGGATTTTGATGATACCAATGTAACCTAGAAAGTAGACCCCTAACCTTCGTTATTTTACAATCGCTACTTTCATTCTAGACGAAAGTTGTCATAACTCGCGCTGTAATTCGTGTTAAGCTAGACAAGCACACGGAGACGAGTTATGTTCTTTAGTTAGGGCCATCAAGATGAAAAGACACTCAGAGCACGAAGACTGAAGCCTCTACAACAAAATGTTCATCAAAGGTTATCAACCGCCTCAAAGAGACAGTTACCATTATAACAAGTCATCAGGACATTCATTCTCTTCAACAACAAGAAGAATGTCACTACTGTCTGAGTTGACTAACCATCCTAGGAACAAAAGGACCTCAACATGTGGGACACACATACCAAGGAGCATTAAATGAAGCTGTACCATCCTTGAAGCTAAAAGACAAAACCCTAAGGCTATCCATGCCCTCAACGGTTACATGATACAAACCACATTAATGGAACATTTAATGCAACAAGCTCCCCGGTCCTTACCCACTGGATAATAGGTTTGAAAATTTCATATCCCTCCAACGGATGAAATTTCCCTCACCTATATAAACCCACCTTCATCAACTAAGAAGGTGCTGGTTCTTTTTCACTCGACAATATTCTCAAGCAAAAGGCTTTTAAGCAATCTTAACATTCCCATCAAGCTTTTTGTGAACCAGTGTCAAGGCGTGAAGATATTTGAAGAAGCTCATCATTTCCTATCTTCCACCTTGAAGAAGTCTTGGATCTTAGAAGAAGTGATCATCCTCCATTCAATCAAGACTTCACCACGTTGGAGAAATCAGAATTCTTTTTCTACCAACCTCATCTCTGAAGAAGACGTTGATAGAGGAGGAGTAAACTTGTGGAGTTGAAAACCTACAGGAAGCTGTCCGGCTTAGTGGTCAAAGAAGCTTCTTGTGTATTTCTACTAACGAGTGATAGTGCAAACCTTCCATAAGTTGTGGAAGAAGAGTGGAAGTAGGCAAAGTTGGCCGAACCACTATAAAGCTCTCGTCTCCCTATTTCTTTACCTTTCGCAATTTATTTTCTACATCATAACATCATACGCATCCAAACCGAAAGCTTCATAAAAACTTCAAACTGTGCAAAGTGTTTAAAACGAACTTAATATTTCTGATGCGCAGTAACACCGAAAGGTTGTTACTTGCAAAAATCTGAAAAGAGTCTATTCACCCCCCCCCCCCCCCCCTCTAGACTCTCGTTATAACCCTACCGGGACCAACAAGTGGTATCAGAGCCAATACCTTGATCGGTAAAGGCTTTGCATTTACTGCCTGATAGATCCCCTATCAAAAGCTTTTGAAAATTTGCATATTTTCATCTTTGCACATTTTTCTAAAAATGGAAAAGGATCGTGCTAACCGCTCTAAGCAGCTTGCTTTTAGCCTCGCAAAATTTGATGACTGGAAAGTAAGAATGCAGGCTCTTCTCTCTTCAATCCATGACGAAATGTGGGATGTAATAACCACAGGACCAATCACAGTCATGATGGCAAACACACAGGCTGCAGCTCAAGGAGCAGGTGCTGCGCAGATGATACCGAAACCAAAGGATCAACTCACCTCAGAGGAAAGAACAAGAGCGAACCTGGACAATGTAGCGCGAAACATTCTTTACAACTCTCTCGACGATTCCTTGTTCCCAGAGTCCGAAAATGCAAGAATGCCATGGAGATCTGGAATGTTCTAATGAACCTTGGCGAAGGAGATGAACAGGAGAAAGACAACAAACTGACGGTAGCCATGAAGAAGTTCGAGGACTTCAAGATGCTGCCAAATGAAGCCGTCACGGACATGGAACTGAGGTTCACCAGACTCATGGGTGATTTGTCAGATCTCGGGAAGGAATTAACTGAGAAAGAAAAGAACTTGAAGATCCTTCGTGGTCTGCCGAAGTCTTGGGAAATGAAAGTCATTGCAATGAGAGACAACCGAGACATGAAGACTACAAGCACAGTCAAGATCTTCAGTGATCTTAAGGCATACGAGTTTGAGCATGAACCGAAAGATGCTGAAGAACCCGAAGCAAGAAACATAGCTCTCGTGGCCAACCAGCAAGGGTCAACATCCAACAGGTCAAAATCTAACTCTGGTGAATTTTTATCTGATGAACAATATGCCTTATTTGTCAGGAAAATGAAGAGGTTTATGAGGAAGAACAACTTCCAAGATTCTCACCGTTCGGGACACCGAAAGCAACATGAAAGTTCACCTCAAACCTCAAAGCCAGAAACTTCAGACTCTCAAATGCTGTGCTACAACTGTCGGAAGCCAGGACACTTCAAAGCAAACTGTCCTCATCCAATTGTGAGCAAGCACCAAGACAGTAGTACTACCAAAAATTCACCCAAAGAAGCTGGAGAAAATTATAAAAGGAATGATAAATCAGAATCGTCGAACTCCAGAAACGAAAGAAGAAGGAAAGACATGGTAGCTAACGAGCCATCTGACACGGTTGAAGCCAAAAGCAGTTCCTCAAGCTCAAGCTCAGAGGACGAAAGTTCTGAAGAAGAAAAAGGACTGCTACGCCTGTTCAGTCAAGAGACAGAAGATCTATGCCTTATGGCTGATGAGGATGAGGTAAATTCTCAATCATCCTCTTGTTATTCAGCAGAGTCCAGTTCTGTAGGGAGTCAAACTTCCAATGAATCAGTTACTGAAATGATGAGGAAGTTTAAAGTAATCAAAAGCACATACTCTAAACTTAAGGATGAGAACTCTCGGCTTATGATTAGCTACAATGCGCTAAGGCAAGTTCGAGTCGAGAACATAATGCTAGCCATGGCTAAGAAGCAACTTGAGGAAAATGTTCTCGCTCTGAAAGAGCAGTGCACATCAAGAGAAAAGAGAGAGCAAGAATTGTGTAAAGTCTTTAATAAATTCAACAATTCGTCCAATCTAATGGACCGAATGGTGAATGAATCTAGACTGCCCGGGGAGAGAACGGGAATTGGTTTTGACCCCAGCTCCTCTTCACAAGTCGGCTTGAACAAATCTACGAATGCTTATTTTCACGAAAGTTTTCAAGCTGTATTTGTTCAAGGTCCAACCCAGGTGTCTGAGCCTATGACGAAAGTTAACGATGTCGCCACACCACAATCAACAAGCCAACCGAAAGGTAAGGCAGTACAACGAATTGTGGATCCTGGAAATGAAAGATCTTACAAAGGCAATCCTAGACAAAAATATGTCAAAAGGAATGGACCAAATGGCAATAGACAAAATCTAAGCCATAAGAAGGGTCAGCCTTACAAGAATATTCAATCAAGGAATAGGCCGAATGTTAACCAGAGGCAATATCGTCCTAAACCAACACGAAAGAATCCTGACCAAGGAACCCCGAGAAATGGACTAGTCAGACAAAACGAAAGATCCTTCTAAAGATCTGGCTATGGCAATGGATGGACTGGGCCATCAGAGGAAGATTGGTTTGATTACCCAGAACCTCTATCAAGAGCCGAATTTGTAAAAGTTCATCTGCGTAAACAAACCAATTACTCCAAGTATTATGAAAATCCTCCTGAAGAATATTTTCACGAGAGATATAATGCTAAAACATTTGCCAAGATCCATTATGATTATCGTACATCTAATGGATACAAAGGACCGAGGATGAGTCGAGGAAACTCTAGGTTCATGTGGATTCCAAAACTGACATCTAACCCTCAAGGACCCGAAACTCAAGGGGTACCTAAAAATATATAATCTTTCTTGCAGGACAAGCAAGTCATATGGTATGTCGATAGTGGCTACTCAAGACATATGACTGGTGATAAAACGATGTTGAGCAATTTCAAAGAAGTCGATGGACCTAAAGTCATCTTTGGAGGAGAAACCAGTGGTAAAACTCGTGGAACAGGAAACATCATAAAAAAGGGAATAACAATCCAAGATGTAGCTTATGTTGAAGGATTAAAATTTAATCTCCTGAGCACAAGTCAGTTCTGTGACAAAGGCTACAAAGTTGAATTTTCCAAGGACAACTGCAAAATAATCAACACGAGAGATGGAGAGATCGCATTAACTGGCCAACGAAAGAAAAACATGTACGTAATCTCGTGGAATTCTTCTAACGCTAACGTTTGTTTTGTGGCTAAAAGTAATGCAGATCTAAGTCAAGAATGGCACAACAAATTGAGTCATCTAAATCTGAAAACCATTAACAAGCTAGCAAAGAAAGATCTCGTGAAAGGCTTACCCAAAGCATCCTACATGAAAGATAAGATCGTGAAGCATGTCAAAAGGGAAAACAAATTAAATCATCCTTCAAATCCAAGGATGTGGATGCAAACTCTCGTTCTTTAAGTCTTCTACACATGGATCTCTTTGGACCAGTTGATCCAGCAAGTCTGAGTGGAAGAAAGTATACTCTCGTTGTAGTAGATGATCACACTAGATATACTTGGGTGCTCTTCTTGAAGAAAAAGAATGAAACAGAAATCATTCTTCCAAATCTCTTGAGACAACTGCAGATAGAAAAGGAAGTCAAAATCATTCGTATAAGATCTGATCAAGGAACTGAATTCGTTAACAAGGTTATCAAAGAGTTCTGTGCACAAAATGGAATCTTTCATCAACTATCGGCCGCACGAACTCCTCAACAAAACGGAGTAACCGAAAGAAGAAACAGAACCCTAAAAGAAGTTGCACGAACAATGGTTGCTCATTCAGGTTTACCAAAACGGTTTTGGGCCGAAGCCAAAAACACAGCTTGCTATACACAAAACCGATCCTTGATCAACAAAACCCCTTACGAACTATGGAAAGGTAAAGAACCTAGCATAGGTTATTTTCATACCTTTGGTTGCAGGTGCTTTATTCACAACAATGGGAAGAATCATCTAAAAGCCTTCGACGAAAGAGCAGACGAAGGATTGTTCATGGGTTACTCCTCTGTAAGCAAGGCCTTTAGAGTCTTAACCAAACGAACAATGGTTATCGAAGAATCCATACATGTCAAGTTCGATGAACAATCTGAGAAAAATTCAATGGGTATTGAATCAACTGTCAATCCAAATCAAAGCTCTCTTGAATCAAATGAAGAAGAAGTCTCAGATGACGAAGACATTTTAACTTCCTACACGAAATATCAGTTGAAGATCTCTGAACCCGAAGTTACAACTCAAGGAAATAATGAAGTGCAACCAGGTATCTCGGATACTCAAGCACCATCTGAACCTATGATTTATGTTCAACTACCTTATATCCCTGAAATGGATGTACAAAATCAACAAAATGCATTCGAACCCGATCTTAGATGGTTAAAAGACCATCCTCCTAATCAAATAATTGGAAACATTCAAGAAGGAGTAAGAACAAGAGCATCTCTGCACGAGAACATGACGGCGTGTTTCCTATCACAAATGGAACCTAAATCTATAGAAGAAGCCTTGAGTGATCCTGACTGGGTGATAGCCATGCAAAAAGAACTTCATCAATTTGAGCGAAATAATGTATGGGAACTTGTTTCAAGACCAACACATCAAAATGTCATTGGAACCAAATGGGTCTTTAGAAACAAAATGAGTGAAGATGGACTCATCGTTAGGAACAAAGCTCGTCTTGTTGCTAAAGGATATTGCCAAGAAGAAGGAATCGATTTTGATGAAACCTTCGCCCCCGTAGCACGTCTTGAAGCCATACGAATATTTCTTGCATATGCGGCTTACAAAGACTTCAAAGTTTATCAAATGGATGTCAAAAGTGTGTTCCTAAATGGACCTCTTGAAGAAGAAGTATATGTTGAGCAACCACCTGGCTTTGCGATTGATTGTGGACAAGAAAAAGTCTATCATCTCAAAAATGCACTATATGGATTAAAACAAGCACCACGAACTTGGTATGATATACTCTCACACTTTCTTATCAACTGTGGTTTCACGAAAGGAGCTGTAAACAAGACGCTCTTTCGTATCAAAGACAATGATCATATTCTCTTAGTACAAATCTATGTTGATGACATCATTTTCAGGAGCACGAATCCTGTCTTATGTGAAAGGTTCTCAACTCTCATGCAAGGAAAATTTGAAATGAGCATGATGGGAGAACTAAACTATTTTCTGGGATTGCAAGTAAAGCAATGCTCAGATGGAATTTTTATTAGTCAAGCTAAATACACTAAGGATCTAATCCAAAAGTTTGGTATTGATGGAAAAACATCCGTCAAGATTCCTATGAGCACATCTCTTAGAATGGATATTGATAATGAAGGAAAAGATGTTGATCAAAAGAACTTTCGTGGAATTATTGGATCTCTTCTGTACCTAACAGCAAGCAGACCTGACATTTCGTTTGCTGTTGGGGTATGCGCTAGGTTTCAAGCTAAACCGAAAGAAAGTCACTTAAGTGCAACCAAAAAGATCTTGAGATACCTTAAAGGGACACAAAGCGTTGGACTTTGGTACCGAAAGAAAGATCCTTCGATCTTGTTGGATATTCGGATGCCGATTTTGCTGGATGCCGAATTGATCGAAAAAGCACCCCAGGAACCTGTCAGTTCCTAGGGGGAAGACTTGTGTCTTGGTTCAGTAAAAAACAACATTCCATTGCTACCAGCACGGCTGAGGCCGAATATATAGCAGCTGGAAGTTGCTGTGCCCAAATTCTTTGGATGACTCATCAGTTAAAAGATTATGGCATAAATGCACGAGAAGTAAGCATCAAATGCGATAACACTACTGCAATTGCCATTACACACAATCCTGTGTTACATTCACGAACTAAACACATTGATATTAAATATCATTTCATTCGTGATCACGTTGAGAGAAAAGATATATCTCTTGATTATGTCAATACTGATGATCAACTTGCGGATATTCTCACTAAACCCTTGAGTGAAGCAAGATTCTCTACCCTAAGACATGAAATCGGGATGATTGAGATGACATAAAGTTTGGGAATCTAATCTGCAAAGATTCTCACAATATTCTTACAGAATCTCCTCGATATAATCATATAAAAGATTTGGTTCCTTCTCACACGCAACATCTCTATAAAAAGGGAGAACATACTGTCACCAAATCCACACTAACGTACCTTTTGAGTAAGAAATCTAGATTTTGTCTTTGATTGTGCAGGAATGAGTACAGGAAGTGAAGCGAAAACGACAATCACAGAAAAGAGGAAAGATGAGACTGAAATCTTCCATGATCCTCTAGTTGATGAGGAGGCATTAAACAAATTTCTAGCATGTTCACAACATATCCAAAATCTCCTGTGTGAACCAACGGAGCAAGAATCACGTGAATCATTTCAATCTGTTGGCAACTCCATAGGTTATGCAAAGGAGGACAGTGTGCTGGAAAGAAGCGATAGCTTTGATTATTCACCTTCAAGCACTCCTCCAAAACTGCCTTCACCACTTAAGTCCACAGCGAGCAGCAAGAAGAAAATGACCTAAGAATTACTCTGGGTCACCATGATAAGATGTGAATTTAACTATCATGAATAAATTTCGTATTTTCATGGAGTGGTTTACTTTCTTAATTAAAAAAAGGGGGGCTGTCACAAAATTTGTTGATTTCTTCTTTAACACGAATCCTAGTGATGTCATCTATAATCTTTTAAACAGTTCTGCACGCAACCTCTACATCTATAAATTGGAACCTCCTTCCATGAACTTTACTCACACAATCAGTCTATTAGTAAGTAAAATTTTGCAGGTATGAACAAGGGCAAAGGAAAGATGGACAAGGCCGAGAAACGAGCTATTCGGCGTGATCACCACCTTTTGGAAGCAAGCAAACTAACTAGTGCCACGATAATGAAACTAGTGGAAGATGGTGATAGGGTCCACGTAACGTTCTCCATGCCAAACTCGGCCACCCCGAAAGAAAGAGAAACTCGGGACAATGCTGTCAACGAATCTCTGGCCAAGAAAAACATATGTCTGGAACAGGCAAAACGTCTGGCAAACGAAAGGTAGATGGTTTTGAACAATGCTAACAAGCACTCATCTCACCCACCCACCTTTCGTTGGTATCCAATTTCTGAGGCTCCACAAAAGAGTGAGAAGTCTTATGAAGACTTCACTCTAGTTCACTCTCAGTCACCAACCAACTCAACTACGCCCACTCTCTCTCTCTAGAGGAACTGGATGAATATGCGAACAAGGCAAATTTGCCTGACGTGACTGATGAGTTGACTCGTCTAGAGCTTCACGTGCCTTATCGTTTTCTTTGAATAATGTTTGTTTTATCTGTATGGCTTTGGGTACCTCTGCATGATTCCTCTCAATGAAATTATCTACCTTTATTGCCTTTACTAATTGTTCTTTTGACCATGAATCTTTAATGTCAGAATATTTCTTTCGGGTCAAAGATAAAGCATTATCTCTTAAACGTATCAAACATGACAATGAATGCATGGATCTAAATGCTAATTGGCTCTACAGAAACCATAGACTCCCCTAATGGTTAACCATTGGATAAAACATTGATCCTCATCTCAACTTGCTATAAAAGGAGGACATTGGTTTCACTTAAAAGCATCCCTTACTTCTCAACAATGGCTCCTAAAGTTTCAATTACCAGGAAAGCATCAAGGAGAACCCGAGCTCATCTAGAAGAAGATGAACAAGGCAATCATAATCTTGGCAACAATCCTATTAATCCTCTGAATATCTCATCTGACTCAGAAAATGAGGATTTTGATGAACTCATCAAAAGATGTGCTGATGAAGATGCCAGATCCTTTGATCCCAATGAGGAACCCCCTCTAATTGTTAGAAAGGGCTTCTTGTCACTGGACTCCTGGAACAATCCCACTATGGACAAAGATCTTAGGGAGTTCTATCAAACATATGATTGCAAGACTGAGCTTGTAGGGTACATTGAAGGAGAATCTGATGAGGAAATGTATCCTCTCGATGGACCATCTCGTCCAAAAGCCCCTACATCAAGGAAAATTCCTAAGGTCACCAAGGACGAAAATGGCAAAGAAATCAATGATGGATCTGATGAAGAAAAGGAAGATGAAGATACTGATGATGCTGATGCAGATGATGAGAATGATGATGATGACGATCCTGATGATGATGACAATCCTGATGATGATGACAATCAAAATGGGGGTAACACAAAATTTGACAATGATTCTTCCCCCTTGATCAATCCGGACCACAATGCAGCAATACCCGAAGAATCCTTATCACACAACTCTCCTTCCCGAAGTGATGACAAAAGGGAAGCATCACTCAAGGATGACGAAACTTCAAACACTCAACCTGAAGACTTGTCTCGAGCTATCGTCCCCCATGTTCAACCTATGGACGAAACTCCTATCAAGAGAGAAGAAGCAAACCC